CTTATTAATTTGTTCTTCTTCCTGATACTGTTTCTCCTTAGGAGCCTCTTCATCCTCTTCACCCTCATGAATCTGTACTGGTTCAGGTACACGTTTAACCTCATTCACTGCTGGATTCATTTCCTCCCTTTTGTTTCTACATGCAGCACGCAATAGTGGGAAGTTATAATCCTTTACTATTGCGTCAATTTTTTCTTGTGTCCATATATCCCCACTCAACGTTAACAAGTTAAAGTGGGCATTAAATATATTACCTACACAATACACACGAAAATTGTAGACAGTTGTCCATGAATGAAGACGTAAGAGATGTGTAAGATCTTCTAAAAAGTAATTATGCACTAGATGTGCTTCCGCTCTTCCACCTTCTTTATATAATTTTATACAGGATTCATCAGTAAACCTGATGTAATAATATTTGGGGAGTGAAGTAGTTTTTTTAGTAGTGATATTGGCGTGAAGTTGTGGTTGCAGAGACTTGTTTTGATCTCCCACCACCTTGTCATCATTGCCATGTTTTACACTCTCCACAGGATGCTGTGAAGTGTTTGGAGAAAAGAAATGAGATAAGAAAGTCTGCAGCAGCAAGAAAAATGAACGACGATTACCAGTACTACTATTACTACAATTACCATTATCATTGTCATTCGTTATTCCTTTCACTGTTTTTGTGTTTCTCTTTTCTTTCTTGGAAATAAATGAGGGGGAAGAATCTTTTCTGAACCAGTGCCAAAGCCTGGATTTCTTTCCCAACTTTTGAGCTCGTTTTTTTTGTTCTTTTTCCAACGCATCTCTGGCAGATGACCACGGCTCCGTCGATTCAGATGGTGTAGACGTTGAATGACTTTGACGGGATGATATACTCATCATACGTGACTGTTTCCCAATATCAACACTAGTATTCGTATTAGTACTAGTTGTTGTTGTTGTTGTTGTATCAGAAGAGGAAGCAGAAGAAGTACCCCGTACTGCATTTTCATTATGTGAAAAAAACGTAACGCTTGCGGTGTACACCCATGACTTTACAGTGGCAGTCACATTGGCACTTCCTTCCAATAACAAGGACCACGCCTTATTAAAGCCCGAAACAAGAAAAGAACAATACTGTATACCTCCTATTGAGAAATGAAATACCCGACTGGCAATACCTCGTCCAAAGGTAAAACACCACTGCAGACCATGTTGAGAATACTGCAGGATGTAAACACGCAGAAACAAATATACACGCCTTACAGATACTGTAGTAAAATACCACAACATACGGAGTACATACTGCATACTTTCTAGTATGAACCCTACCATATGCTTTGTATGTGACCACCATAATGATGGGGAAGGACTACGTATCCATTGACCCATTGTATTCTTCCAAACATTCATTATACCACCCATTGCAGAATAAAGGGATGTACTGAACCATACAAATGGTCGTAGAGGAATACTTGCCGTCTTGGCAACGCCTAATTCGGAAGAAACAGAAACAGGTGATAATGTGGTGTCAGTGTTTTTAAACCACAAACCCATACAGAGAACAAAAATAACGAAAGCAAAAGATAACAACAGCAGAACACGAGAGTTAAGGCGATGTTTGCGGATAGATGGCACCGCCTTGTTGTCCTTTAACTTTTCTTGTTGTTGTTGTGGTGGTGGTTGTGGTTGTTGAGTTTGTTCAGGTTTCTGCAAGTAATGCGAAGGACCAAAGGCAGGCGGACCACGCGGTTCAAGCCGACTGCGGTGTGAACGAGTCGTAGAAGCAGGAGAACCCTGCACGCTCTGCATTTTCTAATCTACACGTTAATTCTTCTTTTCCCTCTACTCCGTTACTCTCTCTCTCTCTCTCTCTCTCTCTCTCTCTGTATACTATATACCGTATACAGTATATATACAACAATACCCCTGTAAATATTTTTCGTTCGTTTTGATATGTACGAACGTTTTTCTCTTTTCTTTCTTTTTTCGATACGCGCGTGTGTGTGTGGGTATTTCTGCGATTTTGTGAAAAAAGAAAAAACAATATAAGAAACAAAGAAGTGTGCGCCGTACGCCTTGCCGTCGCCACCGCCTATTAAGAAAAGGTACAAAATAAGAAAGAAAAGAAAAAAAAGAAAAAAGTACACACATGGAGAGAGATGAACCCCATAGAAATAAAGGAAAAAAAAAATACGTTTTTAAACAAAAAGAAATTCACCCAAGAAGAAACGAAAAAAAAAAAGGAGGTGGGAAACAACAATAGGGGAAACAGGCTCCAGAAATATACGTATAATAAGCATGGAGATCCAGTTTTACACGCTCGTTTTTTTTTATTTGTTTTTTTTTTTTTTTTTTTTGGTTGTTGTTGTTTCCATCGATCATTGAAAAACTATTGATTCATAACATAATGATACATTACACTCAGTATCAAACAACCACGCTACTGCAGATCTAATAAAGGTGGTGTTTGAAATAAATAAATAAAAAATCCAATCAAAAAGATAAAACACAGAGCCCATTACCGTCTTTCTCGCTCTTTTCGTTTTTTTTTTTTTTTCGTTATGGTGCCTTCTTAACCTTTCTTTGCATTTTCGTGGCTACCATACCACTAGCCGGATCCGTGTTCTTCCTGGCACCACTCCGGCTTCTCGCCTCACCGCGATTATTCCTTGTATTGCCAGTACCAGCAGATCCGGCATATGTACGCCCAGTTGGACTTTTTGTTGTGCTCCTGGTGTTGTTGTTGGTGTTGCTACTGATGATCTTTCCACGTTTTTCCCTCGTGATGGGTGCCGTATTCGATGCACCAGGAATCTTTTCCGCAGAAACCCGTGGTTTCTGAACAGGTCTTGAGGGTACAGTGTTGTGCATCTTTTCACTCTCCCATGTGTTTGTAGTTGTGATGGGCGGAAGGTTTCGTCCCGGTACGGCTTCCGGACGCCGTGGAGCCCGTTGTGGTGCGGGAAATGATGAGAGAGAGTTTTGATGATTGCTGTGCTGAGAAGAGGCTACAGATGCTCGTGGTACTGTTGGTGTATGCGAAGGTATCGCACGTGAAAGGGAAGTGAAAGTAGAGAGAGAACTGGTAGTTAGTACAGATGTCGACTCGGCATGATCAGAGAGTCCCTCTTTAAAGAGTAATACTTGTTGTTGTTGCTGTTGTTGTTGTTTTACATCTGTTAGCCCTCCAATACCGTGACTACTGAGGGACAGTCTATTAGGACTCCTTTTGGTGTTGGTGTTATTGTTGTTACTGTTAATATTAATGCTGTTGTTATTCTCATCCTCCTTTGGTAACTGCAGAGTGCTCCCCTGTTCCAAACCTGGTGAGCGAAGTGTAGTTGTAGTTGTAGTTGTAGTTGTTGTAGCAGTTGTTGTTAGTGGTGCTGGTGGTGGTGGTGATGTTTTTGCCAGTAGTGCTCGAATGCCTCTTGCTCCTGCTGTCACGATCACATCATCCTCCGCCGTGCGGAAGGAACTCGCATTCACATCCACTCCACTCTTCTCATCTGTTACCACAACCTTTTCCACACCGTACTCCTCCGCAATGAAGTCATCCATAAAGGCACAGAACTCATTAAAAGAAGACATGGATTGTAATAGACGTCGTGCAGGGTATGATAAAATATCCATCGCCTCCGTTGGACCATAAACCTCAACACTTCCATCATTACCATTTTTGTCATCCTCATCATCATTTTTATTATTATTATTATCAAGTTGATAAGTTTCATTGTGTTGAAGATTCACATCATAGAGAGTTAACACAAACTCCTCTACATTAAAATTTGGTACGCGACGTCTAAGCTGTTGGATAAGGAATGCACTTACACGACGGCTAAACCGTTCATACACCTCAAACGCCTCATGTGAGTACTCACGAATCGCATCATCTGATTTACCATCACCAATACCAGCCTGTAAAAATAACTTATGGTGTTTAAATAAGAAACCTCCCATTTCATCCATTACATGGTGGTTATGCACTATAGCCTCTATACATCGTACACTCGCCATAAAACGATTTAATGACTCTTCAGCAGTAACTGCAAGGACATCCGCATCTGCAGAGATGAGAGCATCAGCATTGTAGTTAGAAATGGTTTCTTCACCAGTTTCCAGTCGTTTATGCAGTGCCGCTCTTGCATTACGTCGAGTACGCTCTGCATTAACGATTTCCATAAGAGAAAGTGGTGTACCATATGGCTGCATGTATTCATCTCTCTGACCTAATGCGAAGGAAGATTCTGGATCTACATACCGCTGTCCAGAGGTCTCTTCCGCCTTCGCCGCAGCAACTTCTAGTGAAGCTAACGTAAACGCCTCTGAAGTGTGATCTGTAGCGATAAAATACTCCGTATCACCCTTCTCTTCCTGAGCATTATATATCTGTAAAAGTGTCTTGTCTTGTAACTCAGCAAAATTTCTTGGGGGACGAACATAACTTTTAATACCTTTTGATTCTTGATCCTGATGTTGTTGTTCTTTTTGTGCATGTGCAGAGAATGAATCCTCCTCGACTTGAGTCGATGTTGGGGCATCCACATTTTCCTTCCGTGCCTCATTCTTTTCTTTTTGAGCGTCTTCTGCAAAAAGTTCAAGCAAACGAGAAAACTCACGCTGTGATATACTGTCGGTGGAGTCAACGGTTCCACGAAGTGCCTCCTGTACAACAAGCGGTGGTGCGGTCTGAGGTGAAGAGTGACTACTATCCGTATTCATACTATCATTAGTCTCATCATCTTTTTTAGATTTGATAGAATTATTTTTAGTATTTTTTGTGATATATTTCAGTTCTTTTTCTTGAGGTTGACTGTTTTCATTCATCTGTGGTTTAACCGCTGCCACCGTAGTTGACGTTGATACACCAGATGTATTTCTTCTTCCCATGACATCACTGCTTTTACTCTCTTCTGATTTTTCATCACTTATATTATTCTTGCCATCACCACTAGTACCACTATTACTGTTTGTGATCACATTTTTCTTTGTGAAAGGACGTTCATTTGGATAAAGAAAACGTCTTGTTCGTTCTCGTGCCGCTCTGTATAACTCTGGGTCACTGTTTGAGGTCGCACTATCATCATCATCTATTGGTCGTGTGTTCGTTAAAAACGCCGGTGGAACATCTTCCTTACCCTTGACTTTTTTAGTATTAACTCCATTATTGTTCATCCCACGACGTCCTCGCCGAGCCGTACTACTTGACTCACTAGAGGTTGTACTAGTACTACTACTACTACTACTTCTACTGCTGTTGATAATGGGTTTTTTACTACTAAGTTTACGAGAAACATTGCGTGTGTTGTCAGTACGTGAAGGTGTAGTAGTTTGATTTAGTTGCGACCACTGACCACGTGCGGCAAGACGGGCTCTGTTAGGATCAATGGGTTTAGCCTTAATTGGCATCTACTCCAGTAAGAGGGAAAAGTCAAGGAAGTGAAATTTGTTTGTTTGTTTGTTTTTTTTTCCTGTTTTTCAGAACAACCACCTATCAACAGTGTAGCTTATATGTAATTGCAGATACTAAAAGAAACAAAAAAAAAAACACCAGCAACACCACTCAGCACACTTTTTCTCTTTTTTTTTTTTTTTGGTAGGTGTGTATAAAAACAGTAGGAAAATAATGAAAGAGTACATGAATGGAGTAGGGAGAAGAAAAAAAGAAAAAGAAAGAAAAACTGCATTTTGAGTTATTTGCAGAAACGGTCATGAATGTATGTAGGAATATAAAGATTTTATACATATGAGTGTTTGACTCTTTCATTTATAACTCGTACACACTTCCCAAAGATTATCCCTAGGAGCGATATGATAGAGCCAAGAAGGAATAAATAAAAAAGGGAAAAAAGAGAAACAAGGAAAAAAAAAAAAACCTCATTCTGACAAATACATACATACATACTGGTAGTTCAAGCAATTTTTGACTTAACGTGTTTAAACTCTATCAGCAAGGATGAATTACGTCAGTTATTGTTTTTTTTTTTTTCTTTTACTTTCTTTTCATCGATCATATTTATTTCCCGTATCCTTTGTATTCTCTCTACGGTTGAGTATGTATATAACTCACATTAACGTTTATATTTCTCTATTTGTACCGATTTCTTCGTGTTTATTCTTTCATTTTCCCATCTTTCTTCTCTTTTTCTCCTTTAAACAAACACATATAATTCAGTACATATCTCAACTTCTGTCATTTATTTTTTTTTTTCCTCTATATACTAGAGATAAGTGAAAAAAAAAGATAAACAATATATATATACAATCATATACATATATAATTGTAAGGCATCATAATTATAAATGTATAGATAGATATAGATATAGATATGTACAAGTACACATACAGTTAGAAACATATAGGTTCCATTATACATATGTTTGGGTTCTTATTACTAGAGCTCATCTCTCTCCTTACCTCTGCCCAGTATGCTTCAGCAATACAAAGCAAATAGCAAAATGTGAAACAAGTCAGTAAATGATAACCCCCCAAAAAAAAAATCAACGAGGTGATTGTATGAAAAAAAAAAAAAAAAAAACTCCTCAATAAAAGAAAATTTCTTTTTTTTTTTTTTTTTTGTTCACTCTCTCATACAGTATGAAATATATATATATATATGTATATATGTATGTATATGCTCCCGAAGACAATATTTACCGCTCAGAGTGTGATATGTTGCCTTTTTAATGATCAGTTGTAAGAACCAGTGGCGGCAACAGCAGGAGAAGTAGTATCTGCTGTATTCCTCTCCGCTGGTCGTCTCACTGCACTCTCTGCATATACACGGGAAGCATCTGCATGCATTTTCTTAAAATCCAAGAAACTTTGCATTTGAGCCGCCCGATCCTGATTGGTAGTGCGCCACAATGCAGCGGAACTCTTGTAGGGTAACGGTTCCTTTGTTGATGCTCCTTTCGTTGTCGAACCATTCTTCCCATTCAAACTCTTGTCCTTCTTAGTGGCTGTCCCATTTAACTGCGCAACATCTCCATTTGCCAATGGTGCTTCCACTCCCCTTTCTCTTCCACTTTCTTCTGCAGCCATTGTTGGTGCCCCTGTCTTGTGTTTGTACTGATTGTATGTACTTCCCGGGTACTGATATTCATTCGCCACCTCTCTCTCCGAGGCGGGGCTGCTGCCGCTGCTGCTGCTACTATCACTCTTAACTTTCTCAGCGGTCGCAGCCTCTTCCAGTGGGAGCCACACCACACCAGAACCGTATGGGTGTGGATTGTATACAAAGCGTCGCGTCGTTGTACCATGAATAGAAGGAAGTTGTGAATCCTTTAACAACATTTGGGGAGGAACCACACAGGGGTGTTTTCCCTGCGCATTTATAGAAAAACAATGGTTGCAGGCATGTGGTTGTTCTGTACAACCCGCAAGCATTTTCTTTGTCTTTTCATCTTGTGTTTCCACAAGACGACGCAGTTCACGAATTTCTCCTGTTGAAAGTGGTCTCTTGGGAGCTCCTGTGGGGTGAGCATCGGTAATTTTCTTAATCGTCTGCAATGCACTCTGGAGATCTTCCTCCGCGGAGCACACGGGTTGAGCCTTTGCTGCCGTTTCTGATGGACTGACACGTTTTTCTGTAAGAGTGTGTAGGAGATCATCCTGTGCGCTGATTGCCTGATCTCGCATTCCGTATTCATCATCATAATCAGTTAAACCAGCTTGTAGGCGGTCGCGTCGTAATTGACGTTCCAACTTTGTACGTTCTTTGTTTTCAAGAATGAGAAGTTCTTGCAGACGATCACGACGACGTACTGGAACCGTCAATGCAGCCCTCGCCATATCACCTCTTGTGCTCTGCAACATTTCATCAGGTTTAAATCGGTGTGCGTTCTTTGAACTGGCCATAAGACTCTTCGCACGCAGGCTTTCGTTCAGGGTTCGCAGGTATAACTCATCTTTACTGCATCCCTCCTTCTTTGGAAGCAAAGATCCAGTTCCAACATTGGCTTGACGCTCTTTGTTATTGGCGCAGTAGGAGCATTGACAGTATGCCTTGCACTGATCACGGATCATCTGTATATTACTCTGCAGTTGATATTGTTGTTTTTTTTTTTTAATATATATATTTCTGTGTATTTCCTTGTTCTTCGATTCCCTGTATGTATGTGTACCTTTGTACTCGTTAGTCACTGTTAATATAAATGGAGTAATCAGTGAATAAATTAATGAAGTGGAAAAAAAAAGAAAGTAAAGTCAATATGATATAGAGAAAAATAATGGTGAATGAAATCTCGTTAAAACAGTATTGGATTACAGAGTTGCACTAAGATAGTATTTATCTCCTTTTCTTTAGTTTTTGTTTTTTTTTTTGCTCTCACCATCAAAGCTGAATACATGTAATAAATAATGCAAAAAAAGGTATATTGTATGCAAGTACAAATGATAAAATACATCTAGGAGGTATCTCCAGTACCAATTTTTCTTCTTTTCTCCTTAAGTAAAAAAAAAAAAAAAAGAAATGCGCAAGGAAGAAAGGTCAATTGCTCTTCTTCCTTTCTTTTCATGTTTTTTCTTTTTATCTTTTTACTTGGTTTCAGGATTGGGTGGGAACCCCTTCTTGATTACATTTAGCTAAGAATGAAAATTAGGTGACATTCTTCATATTTTTTTTTTTCTACACGTACACCTACTGCAACACAAACAAACACAAACACTCATGCATACGCAAAGACTCAAATAGAAAGTTGCAAACACGAAAACAAGGCATGACCAAAAAGAAAAAGAAAAAAAAGAGAGGTTGTCTCTTCTCACTTCTCTTTTTATTCTTCCTCTCTTTTGCTCATTTCAAACTCGTGATTCTTCTCCACATGATCCATAGTAGGATGAAATCAAAAAGAAAAAAAAGAAAAAAAAAAACATATCCAAAGACCCATCATCTGTCTCATCAACGTTTGCGTCTCACTGAGGCTTCCAATATTTACATATTCTCTGCCATCTCTTTTTGTCTGTATGTATGTATTTGTTATATATATATATATATATATATATATATATATATATATATATATGTTTATATATATGTAAAGGGCTCTCCTACAAGAAGTTTTATATACGTGTGTCTTCGGCATCACGAACGGTGGGAATTGGAGTGGGACTCTTCATAGCTCGACCACCCTGATGCTGCTGCTGTAGTGTAAGGGCAGCATAAGCACCTGGTGAAGTCTTCTCAAGATCACTCATACCAGTACGTGCTGCACCTGAACCATTAGCAGCCTTGGAGTCATTCAAAGTATTTTTCTCATCAGTGGCAGTTGCCTGCTTTGAACTTTTTCCCTTCACTAGAGTTGACTTCCACAGGTCACGGTTATCCACATTCCCAATGCCTCCAGTTGCAGTGGCAGCTGCACCCCCCTGAAGGGTGGGATGAATTTTACGCCATACAACCCCTGCACCCTCTGGTCGAGGACCAAAGTAATTAGCCGGTCTCTCTGTTGTAGTTCCCATGGCAGCAGCAGCACCATTCTGCTCATCACTCTTGTCAGATACCGTTGGTGTTACTCCAGAAACACCCTCACGCTGGAGCACATGGCGTAGTTTACCAGTGTTCTTTCGGTTAACAGGATCTCTTGCCACAGCACGTACATCATTAATTGTGTGTTGCAGGCGGTGAGAAACCTCACAGTGGGGCGGTGGAGTAACAGAGCAACGTTGTGCAAGATCATAGGCCTCACGAATAGTACCAGGCTGAACCACAACAGTTCCTTGTACGGGTGTACCATGCATTCCCGCATCACGTGTGGTCATTCCAGTCGATTGAAGCCCACCAACGGTTGCCCCAACACCTTCACCCGTTACATCAAATGGTTGTGGACGTAGTCCTTTACCAGTGGACTGCCGCATCTCAAGATTATGTGCGTCTGCCGCTGCCTTTACACGTGATTTGTGTTCAAGAATGAGAAGACGCTCGAGGCGATCAAGGTCTTCCATTGCGGCCTTTTCACGCTCTTCACGGGTCATCATTCCAACACCAGGGCTGGTGTCTCCTTTTCCACGAACGGTGTGTCCTGCTGAGATGGTGTACTTATCACCAGTGGGGAGTCCTGTGCGGCCCATCCTGGCGTTGAGTTCAGTTTGATTGACGTGATGCTCCGGATGGTCGAGTTCAAAGTTCGGCGCCGTCTTTCCTTTCAGTGATCGTCCTGCCAATACTTCATGGCAGGAGCAGCAACAATTGTTTTGTCGCTGCAACGCCTGGAGATCTGCAACTCGGCTGCTGACGCCAAGCTTCTTTTCATTGACTGTGCGGCGACTGTTGCAGAAATCACATTTGCAGTGATTGTGAGATTGATACTGAACTGACTCCTCAGGAACTTTCACTGACATCTTCTTGAGTACAAATTATATGTTTGATATGTAGTAACGATGTAGAGTTGTCTTCGAAAAAAAAAAAAAAAACCTGTATATCTGCTTTCTAGTTCGCTTCGTTACAGGTCTTAACGCCCAAGACTTATAGCCTTCTAGTTTGTTTGTTCTAGTTTAACCCTTCCTCTTATTGTTTAAAGATTATAAATTATTAAACAGATATATATATATATATATATATATATATATATATAGAGAGAGAGAGAGGGACGAAAACAGAGAAAAAATAAATAACAAAAGTACCAGAAAATACCTTTTTATCAGGATGAACAATTTCTTTTGTTTCTACAAAACATTATTCCCCTCACTTCATGTCTATCTGCACCCAGTAGGGAAAGCAGAGATGTATTACAACGTTTGATTTTCTTGTCATTTTTGCATACATCCCATTACATCGCAGAAAAGTGGGAGCAAAGTAAAAGGAAAATGCAAACAATAGGGGTACAACAAAGGAAAAATAAACGAAATACCAAAATAATAATAATAATAATAATAATAATAATAATAATAAAAGAAAAAAAAAAATTAAAGACGAACGAGAATCCGACTCAGACTTCAGCTCCTATGAAAATGAAAAAGAAATAGATCAGAATACAGTAAAGGTAACAAAAAAAGTCCGATTTTTCTTCTTTTGTCTTGAGCTTCATATTTTCTTTTCACTGTTCCTGGACTACTGTAATAAATGAGAAAATGAAGAGTTGCACGTACGTCTTTCTCCCTTTAACAACTCCAGTTATTTATTTTTTTTTTTTCATCAGATCGCTGGTCATCGGCTCCCAAAAAGAAAAAGAAAAAGAAAAAAAAAACACACACACACTCATTACATATTTTTTTCTTTATTCATCCGTCGTACAAGAGAACTTCCTGGGGTAGAGCTAGGTGAAAGGTCTCCATGGGGCCTTAATATAGATGTTGCTGGTGATTTTGATTGTGGTTCTGAGGAGCGTGCAGTAACATCAATGGATCTTACCGGATCCCTGTGCCGTACTCCACTAATGCTATCAACATTATCACCATTATCAGCAGTAATAACCGCCTCAGCATTACGTTCCATACCAGAAAGTGGAGGTACTACCGATTCATACACAGTTTGTAAATGTCGAAAAAAAGTTTGGACAGCTAACACCAGCCAAGTAGGCGCGGTTTCTTCAAAAGCCTCCCATTGAGAGATAATGAAACCCCGGAAAAATACAACAGTTACAATCACAACAATTAAAAGCAAAATTGGAGAAGACAACACGTACCATAATTCATTCCATCCTAAAAGAAGTAATGCTGGTAAAACCCATGCTGGTAAATTTTGTTTACCACTCTCAATATTGCGAAGTTGTGTTTGCATAGTGAATTCACATTTTTGAGTATAAAGATCAAACACACGTTGAACTGCCTGCTGACTAAGCAAAATACAATCTCCATCAAGGGTATCATCTGATACCACAGCTGATCCAGGTGTCACCATAGGAACATCAGTCGGATAACTCGGAGGTTCTGATATTGTTGTATAATGAAAGAAAAACCTTTTCTCCGCGCTATTGTCGCGGACTCGTAAGCTACGGCGCTCACTTAATAAATGTTTAACAGCTCGGCTACAATTACTACTGATATTGCTGCTACCGATGATATTTTTTTTTCCCCCATGAATATTGTTTTCGTCAGATTCATTTTTAGCCTCATTATGTTCAAGTTTCAGGCGATAATACAGTAAACAGCCGAGTAGGACGAGACCTGATTGACGTGCTTGCGGTTCAGCACTTTGAAGTCCTTTTATAGTATTAAAGAAACGTACCGTACCATCAGGTCTTCGAGTGAGAATACGTTCAAAGGCTTGGTGAATCGTCTCACTTGCATTCTCTGCCATTGAAGAAAAACGATGACACACCTTTTGGTATACTGCATCCATCACCACATGTCCAATACATTCTTGCATCGCTAAATCATGAGCTACAAGGGCAGAAAAACGACCGTAGATAGTTCCCGGACGTTTTGGCTCTTGCCCCTGACGCTGATGACCCTGTTTATTGTAAAGGACATCAAGATCTGCCTGTAAAACACGACAAAGTCTTGACCAAAACTCAAAAACAAGTTTATTACACTTGTTACTATCCATTATAAAAGTATTAATCTTGTGTGATTTGCTTATTCTAGTCCCATTTAATTCCCTCTCTCTATCCTCATCAACTCCTTGATTCCCAGTAATAAAGGGCACCATTTGCGTTTCCTGTAAAAGCCATCGTATTGTCCCATCTACAGAAACACTTATAGTAGTATCCAATGAAGCTAGTACCTCTACCGCTATAGTTTTTGCGTATTGTTGAAGAAGTTTTAACTCTGCAGTAAGAAGATTCTCTTCCAGTTCTGCTAATGTGTCTTTCACAATAGTAGGATTATAAAGTTTTGTCTCTGAACGAAACTGGTAAACTTGTCTCTCTACTTCAGAATCTAACATCTTTGATAGTTGAGGTACAAGCTCCCCGTTTTGTAACCGTTCTGTATAGCCCCGACAACACTCTTCAAATGTAGATGTAATAGTACGCTTTACCTCTGTACAACGATGTCTCGCCAGCATTTCACGTTGTGTAGGAATATCAAGATCCTTACTGTTACTAATTACTTCCCAGCAATTCGACAAGTAAGAAGGAATACCCTCGAGAGGAACACCTCGAAACATCTCACGACGATGAAATAAATAGTGATCAGACGATGGTACAGTGAACCAACGAGAAAAATCTTTGATGGCTTTATCAAATGCAGGACGTTGCAGTTTGTAGTGTGGAAGAATATGAAAACGCAAGTTAAAGAGAGCATCTATACTTGCATCTTGGAAAGCCTCTGGTTTAACGATGTTAGTCCAAATCTTGTCTAGCGACTGACGAACAGTGTTGTAGTAGTGAACTGTGTCATCCTCCGTAAAGTCGCGTAGTACTACCAGAAGTGTTGGTTTTTCTTCTTTTACATAACGATCATGTGCAAAAAGTTGAAGATTCACTTCAAAAATGGTCCGAAGGAGACTCATATTTGCAGCATTGTAGCGACCCACATCAACGGCCCACATATTAATGATAAGTGTATCTGCTACACTAAGAGCAAAAAGAGACAATTTACGTTCAAAACTCTGATCTTCACCACGTTCAATACCATCAGTTCCTTCAAAATCCAATACAAAAAGTGGTGATGAAAGTTCACTTGTCTCTTTGCTTTCTGATGATTCCCTTGTTGCCATTGCTGCTGCTCTTGTTGTGAATTCCTCTTCTGTTTGCTCATCATCTCGTTCAAATTTGGCGCGTGCAAGGAAGGCACCCTTTGTTGTCTGTCCACGCCGACGCGATTCATCCATCGTCTGAAATTGGGTATGAAATAGCCTATTTAACAAGGTAGATTTACCACTACTTTGACCACCAAAGACTCCCACAACGTGATAGTTCACACCTATTTGATGGAGTGTATTTTTACCACCTTTTCCACCTAGTGCAGTAAGAAAAAACTCAGTCATTTCTTTTTCTGAAAGCAGTTGACCATTGTCATCGATGAGGTGAATATCTTTTGCTGCCACACTGTTAACATAGGCAGCCATTCTCTTTGTTGTTGTCGTTGTTCTTGTTCTTGTTGTTGTTACTTTTGCTTCTATTACCGTTTCTTTTTTTTTTTTTTTTCTTACCCTATTTTCTTGCACTATTTTACTAGTATTTCTTTGTTACTCTATGCTCTCTTCTCACTCGCCGTGGTAGAGATTTTCCCCAGTTCCCGTTAAGTGTCTTTTTTTTTGCTTTGCTTTGCTTTGCTTTGCTTTGTTTTGTTTTGTTTTGTTTTTTGTGTTTTTTGAGGGGAAAAGGGAAGAGGGAAGACGGAGGAAGAAGAGGAAAAGACTTTCTTTAACTTACTACGTAAGCGTACGTTTTGTGTGAGTTTGGCCTATTTAGTATTGTTCAGTGTATCACGTTCTTTTCTTATTTTTTTTTTTTTCTTTCTATTTATTCCCTTCGGGTGCTTCTTTATTTCACTCCTGGTATATGGTTTATTCTACCTTGTATGTATGTGAAGCTTAATGAAAACAACAAGATGGAAGAAAAGGAAGATTCATAATGGCAGAAGTCATATCTGTTGTCAGCTTTAACTGTATTCATATAGAGGACATGAAGGTAAAGTAAAGAAACACACATCACCATTCAGCACGACACCTAACAAGCACGCCGGAAAAAAACACGCGCACAAAAAAAAAAAAAAAAACAGCGAAGAAAAGGGTTTTCTTCATTCCTTTTCCACAACGCCAAGTACCAGAGAAAAGGTAAGTGTCATTTATACATGCTTTTTTTTTCCCTTTCGTTGTTTGCATAACATACTACTACGGATCTGCATCGCCGCAACTATTACTACTGCTGCTGAGCTACTCTTCATGCTGCTTATACAGGAGACGATTCTGTAACGGTCTCACTACTAAACTTCTCTCTTCGAATTGAGACCAAAAATATCAAGAAAAGCAACTCCTGCAGTAATGGTCGTCATAAAATGAGAGATACCAGTTGTGCTGATTTCTAAATACAGGCAAGGGCTTTAGGATGATTCACTGGTCAAAAACAATGAAATCAGAAGAAAAAAAACAAAATATTCAATAAATAAATAAAAAGATAGAGCAGTTTTTTTCAGTACAAAAATTAAGAATAAGGGGGAAAAAAACGTGTTTTTCCTCTCTAATTCTTGTTCTTGGTCTATTACTATACACACACGCGGTGGGCGCTTGTGCTGCGCGTTGTTGTCCACTTACGTGTTTTCTCCGGAAGTGGAGCACTCGGACTGCGGTTAGTGGGATTCAGGCGTCGTACAAACCCATCCTGCTCCAATCGTTCAATAACTTGTGAGCGACGATACAAGTACACATCATCAGTTATGTAAACCTTTCGACCGTGTTCCACCACAGTAAGTTGAGACTGGGAAACTGGTGAAGCAGAACTTCGTTCCATTGAAACAGTCCGTGTAGGTGCCGTTGTTTCCTCTTTCTTCTTTGATATTATAGGTTTGGGTGACTGTGGCTTTGGTTGTGGTTGTGGCTTTGGCTGCAGTTGTGGTTGTGGTGCAACCGTCGCCTGTTTAGCAGCAGGCACCACACCTGCAGAATGTGCCGCGTTGGATCTCATCCAAGGTGCACATGGCTGACAAACGTGGCAGCAACAGCAACAGCAACAATGGCCTTTATTACGAGCGTCACCTCGTGGTGATGGCGGTGAAGATCGCCACTTTTTTTTACCTTCGCAGTTCTGAACTGCGGTATGTCGCATCCCTGCATCAGTCTCGGTGCCACTTCGTTCAGGCTCTGGGGCTTCTACGCCTGCTGCCGCTGTTTGTTCTCCGGTGGGATTATTGCCTTTGTTAACTGTCTGCACAGAGCTCCTCTGTTGCCTCCGCACATGAGCATGTGGAGTACTGCAACCCGTATTAGTCCCCGTTGTTAGTACTCTTGCTGAGATTCCACCGACATTCTGTTGGTTACGGTGAGAATAAGTATTATGCCTTTTCAAATTTTCAGTGGTACAGACAACCACAGGATTACGTGTAGATGTAAGAGGACGTACATTTTGCCGAGACATCATCATACGTGGCGCTGATGAAATTGGTGTGGAGGTAAAAGTCGGGTAACTCATGCGTGTACGCACATTAAGTTCCCGTCGCCTCTCCTCAATTTCCCTTCGTAACTGCTGCCGCCGACGATCTTGCTCCATCGCCACAGCTTGCTGGTAGAATGTCCCTTGTGAGTAACGAAGAAGATCAGCTGTGTTAGACCGATATCGATAACTTGGTCCGCGAGAACGACGCTGCGCCTCACCTTTCCATAAGTCATCATACAAAGCAGTCTTTAGTTGCTCCCGCTCTGCACGCAGCGACTGGTACCGCTTTTCCTTTGCCAAACGTTCACACTCTTGTAATTCTTCCTGCTCTGGTACACAACAATAGCAGCGGCGAGACGAAGAACGGTATTGCGGTGGCAATTGTCCTTCAGTCCCTTCCCCATACTGCCCGTAGTACTCTGGGTAATGTTTCTGATCATGATGATGATGGTGAGGATGATGATGATGAGGATGATGATAATTGTGGTAATGGTGGTGGTGGTGGTGGTGGTGGTGGTGATGGTCATCGCCATGGGATACTGAACCAGTCGCCTGGCGGAAGACTTCGCAGCAACACGGAATTCGTTTCGATGGATTATCGTGATGTGCTGACTCCGCACCTCTGGCTACTGGAGCAGCATATGTTCCAGATGCAGAACTGTAAACGATAGGAGTGACATCTCCACCAGGTATCTGTTGACCGCCATATGAATATGGACTGTAGTGGTGAATTTCAGCACTCATACCTTGAGTTACTCTTCACTCTTCGCTCTCCTTGCACTGGTTTCCAGTAGTCAAATACCAACTCACTATCAACCTGCGTTTTTTTTTTTTCTCTAATGGACAATACTTCTAGCTTTGCTTTGTTTCGTTGCTCTATTAATTTTTTCTAGTGTACTTTTTTTTTTTTCTTTATTATTCTCTTTTTTCGTTCTCGCCCACGATATCTGGTAAACCGCGTAAAAAGGTGTTGTTCTAGTTCTACCACTTTTCCCTTCGTTAACGTACTGCCACTCTTGCTACTTGGCAGACCTGTCAAGCCCTTACGTTATCACAAAAAAGGAGCACGTAGACACACACACACGCGTTATCAGAACTCACTTACAGAAAAAAAACTGAGACTCGAAGCAGTGGTATTAAATTAGAAAAAAAAAAAACAGTATAATTTGAACAATCAAGTAACAATCCGAAAACCTTCTTTTTACACACGCTCCTGTTATCGAGTCTTCCCCCTCATACACAAATATATCCCTTCATCTCCCCCTCTTCCATTTTCATCATTTCTTACTTATCCTCTCTGAGTCAATTCTATATCAGGAAGGAACAAAGGAAGAGAGGCAAACAAATATTTATCAAACGTAGAACAAAAAGGTGAAAAAAGAAAAAAAAAGTACTAAACATACTATCGCAACATATACTCGCCTCATGTGCAAAAACTACTCATTAATAAAACAAACCATCTCTACACTAAATTCGATGATATGTTACCGATGATGAATCTCTCACTAAAGGTTCCGTTATCACAGTCTCTTGCACATGGTCACCAGATAAAATAGCTGCAGAAAGTAACACATCATCCACACCCATAACCATTGCTACTACGAGAAGTACTGAAAACAACGTTATGCTTACAATAATACAAGATACAATCTTCACAAAGGTAACCCATCCATCAACGCACATCGTCGATGCAAAAGTTCCGTAAAACGAAAGACAATCTTCTCGATTCGTAGCTTTCATGATACCTGGACCCCATGCAGTTGGAAAGCCAAGAAGAAAAAGAAACCACGCCAGATATACTGCAAGTAGCCACCTTGAGTGCAGTTCACGGGGGCCATTTACCTTCAAAAATGCCATGCTATACGCCAAAACCGTAGTGACAAGGCCATAGTTATATGCGGTGCTGAAGTAGAGAAAAACAGAGAGCGCCATATTTGCAAGAGCAGCAGAAAAGCACATGAAGGTAGCCGTATCACCCCTTGAGGCGTAAAACGCATCAATCAATCGATTTCGCGTAACCAACGCAATGCAAAGAAGAAATGCCAAGTAGAGGATCGGCATTCCGATACCATTCATCTGATCTGCAGCATCTGCAGCCAGCACCGGCGTGGTGGCAGAAACAGCAAGAGTGACAAACACCGCCGCGGCAGATGACCCGAGACGGGGAGGTACAAGTCTCCAGAGTGGCGGATATGTGCCGCGTCCCATTATATGAAGAACACAGTCAAGTGGCTACCAATAAAATATACATACAAAGAGAGAGAGAGAGAGAGAGAGAGAAAAGAGAAACGTACACAGAAATATATATATATATATATATATATATACATATAAAACCAAAGCAACAAATAAAAAAAAAAAGAAGAGACGTGCGAAAGCACGGAAGGATTCAGAACACTCCGCAATACATGCACTTTTTTCTGTTCCCTCGCTCGTGTGCGGCTTGCGCACCCCATCCATCACACATCGTTCAATCACTCACTTCTTCGCCATATTTCCTTTGTCGTCTCCCGCTCCCTTCGACTTTTGTCCGCCGTCCTCTGCCGCAGCCTCTTTTGCCTTGTGCTGCTCGTTCTCAAGCTTCTCCCTAAGCGCCTGTTCGCGTTGACTCTTCGCCTCCCGCATTTCACGGGTTAGGCGACGACGCTTGGCAATAATATCGTAGAGGGTGCCAACACAACGGCCGATTGCGGCAATAAACATTGCAATTGCCTGATCATTCGTATGGCGAATCATCTCTGTGGACGTCTTGAGGTGGTAAATATGTGGCTGCAAGCTTATGACCTCCTGTAGCACGCTCAGCACATCCTCTGAGATGGGCATAAGGCCCTCTGACACATCGTGCAGGTACTCTTCAATGGACTGCAGGACACGACCGAGGTGGGCCAGCGACAACTCACGCTCCTGTATCTGCGTGGAGAGCGTTGTGATGGTGGAGTCCGTCAGGTCGCGCAGCAGATGTTCGATGCCGATCTCCTCCGCCTCTTCCGCGCCAAGGTGCGTCGGGATGTTGCGGAACTCCAGCGAGCGTGCCCCCTCGCGCCCCTGCACAGTGGTGTACGCCAGCACCGGCACACCCTTGTTGTTGGGGTCCGTGTTCACAATGCAGTACACTGGGTTGGCGACGAAGCGGTCAGCCACGAGTAGATGCAGCAGCATGTCATTCGGTTGCACACTGAACGACGGGCCGGCGGAGTACCATCCGACAACCTGCACTTTGGGCAGCACGCGACGAAACATATAGAACATCTCCTCCGCATAGTTCGTATCAATAAACCACACGTCCGGGTCACGTTGGTCCTCGTCAAAAGGCACGGCAAAACTGTTGTTGATGTCCAATACCTGTGTCCCATCCGCGAAGCGCTTTTGACGGCCAAGCAGCAAACCAGCAACACGACGTTTCTGTGTTTTCTTGGCATTTATGCGGGCGTAGTGATCGACGAGGGAAAGCAATACGAGGGGGTGCACATCAACACGCGCCGCTGTCGGTGTAAACACCGCCGCTCCTTCAGGGCCATCGCCGGAGTCCCGCGCGTTGTCGTCACCCTCCCCAGCGGCCGAAGCGTCCACACGGTTGTCATCAGCAGAACCTGATTGCTGTTGCTGCTGTTGCTGCCGCTGACGCTGGGGATCGTCCTCAGACATATCGTCACTTTTTCCTATTTCTTTGAGGTTCTACTGTCCTCACTTTTTCTCACTGGTTTTTCTTTTTGATTTCTCACGTGATGTATCTCTAAAGCCTCTCCGGCTGCTAATAAACCTCAAGAAGGAAGATGGAAAGGTGGAAAAGAAAAAAGAGAATAGTAGTGTGCATCCTTTGTTTGTGCTAATGTATGAGTGTGAGTGTGAGTGTATCACCTTGTGACTGTTCTACAATCACACGTAACGTCCAGTAAGGAATCAATACAATTTCATCGACCCCCTCTCTCATCCCTCTTTCCTTCCATCCTGCATTTTTACAAATATCCCTTTCAGGGCAAGTAAGTTCCCCCTCCCCCTTCTGTTACCCTCCTTTCTTAACCCTCGTTTCCCAACTTCCCATTCAGTAACAAGAGCAGATTTGTTACCAATGTCTTTTTTTTTTGTTCGTAATACATCACATTTCGGTGGCAAGACCACAGTTGATTCATAAATAAATATTTTACACAAGTAAGATTTACGAGAAAAAAAAAATGAAGACATCGTTTAAACAATAGTTTTTATTTTTAGATATTGCAAATTTTAAAAATAGAAACAAATAAAATAAAAAAATATGTGCAGTACGAAAAACCTTATACTACAAAAAATGCAAAAACAGAAAGTATAGCCAACTTCTGTTAATCATTCTTTAGTAATGGCTAAGCAAACACCTCTCTGTTCAAAGGTCGGATCATAGCACTATAATTTGTGATTTCAGTTCTTGATCATTTGGAGAGGGGACCGAAAAAAAAAAAAAAAGTGTTCTCTGCAAGCTCCAAAGACAAAAGTCTCTAACTTGCACGCCCCCATTATAATGTCGAAAGACACCAGAGAGCACCTCTACAACTGGAGAGGTCAGTCAAAAAAAAAAAAAAAAAAAAAAAAAAGCTGCAAAACGGTACAAATACCATTAGTGAGAATCACCTTCTGGTATCAGAAAACCCATGTAACGAAGAAGATCAACATCAGATTCCACGAAATACTAAGAGATTCCTTATACAAACGAAAGCATAAAAAACAAGTAAAATACAACTATCCCATTCACTTAACACTCTATTATATATTACACAATAAAGAGACGTTAAAAAACCATCTTGAAATGTAGACAACAAGGTATTTTTTTTTAAGGGGGAGAGATAGCCGAGAAAGATCAGACAAAACAAACAACTTCTTCACGCCAACTCGTCAACCAAAAGTACAATTAAAATTAACATTACAAGTAAAAATCACCTCATTGAAAAGAGAATAAGAATTCCGCAATAATCGGCCAAAAGAACAAAAAAGGAAAACTTCAATCTCCAATTACCGACCACCGGCCTTCCAAGAGGAAATACGACACCATTAACGATTTAAAAAAATACATTTTTTTTTTTCGTTCGTAGCTTTCATGATACCCGGACCCCATGCAGTTGGAAAGCCAAGAAGAAAAAGAAACCACGCCAGATATACTGCAAGTAGCCACCTTGAGTGCAGTTCACGGGGGCCATTTACCTTCAAAAATGCCATGCTATACGCCAAAACCGTAGTGACAAGGCCATAGTTATATGCGGTGCTGAAGTAGAGAAAAACAGAGAGCGCCATATTTGCAAGAGCAGCAGAAAAGCACATGAAGGTAGCCGTATCACCCCTTGAGGCGTAAAACGCATCAATCAATCGATTTCGCGTAACCAACGCAATGCAAAGAAGAAATGCCAAGTAGAGGATCGGCATTCCGATACCATTCATCTGATCTGCAGCATCTGCAGCCAGCACCGGCGTGGTGGCAGAAACAGCAAGAGTGAC